TTTTTTTTTTAACTTGTGTGAGCCGATGTATTTATTTTGTTGGGGGGGGGCAGGAGAAGGTTTCTTCCATCCTAATACATATATACATACATAAACATATATATGTATATACACATGTATTAGGATAACTTATGCTCACTTGTGTTCTGCCTCTTTGCACACAGCAAGTGGGGGGGGGGAAATGTCTAAACTGTGATCAATGCCTTTTTTTAAAGAAATAAAAAACACCTTTTTTGTGGCTAGTACCCTCCACCATGTTGCAAGTGACCTGAAATGTTCTCCCGAGGCTGGCAGACTGACCACTCACACCCCGGCCCCTCTTGTGGTATCAAGCTTTCTATCTCACCCTGACCAAGGGTGTCCGTTGTGAGTCCCACACGCTTTGCCTTTTCTCACGCAGCCACAAACGTCAGCGGGATGGCGGGGCGGATCAGCTTCCCCCTCTGGTCCAGCCGTTTACCCCTAACATCCAACACCTGGTTTTTCTGATTTATTGTTTTTTTAAAAAAGAATTGCAATGGTTCCCCATCTTACCTTCCCCTCATGACCCGATCCTTTTCGCACGTCAGCTGTCGATCAGAAATGCTAGCCTTTTCTGCTTGCTGTCAGTCTCTTTTTCTCTGACACGTGTGCACACACAAACACACCACTCTCTGATTGGACCAGCTCTGTGCAACTTCTGAAGTAGAATAAATAAGGATGTTTCTCACCATCTCGGCTGAGCGTCTGAGCCTAAAACCTGCCAGTTTTGGGAGGGTTGGGTTGGGAAAGGGGAGGGGAGTGATGGGGGGCAGAGGTGATATTGTGGAATCAAAGTGTCCGGCGACAACTCTTAATGTGTGCGTGCAAACAGCGGGTGTTGAAAGGGAGCCCAAGATTGAGACAGGAATTGCTTGGAGAGAAAAGCTGTTTGGTTTTTATATTTGTACCGTCGGATCCCACCATACCCATTGGGATTGGTGCTAAGGTCCCCCTGCGGATATTGAAAAATGTGGATGATAAGGAACACCGTTATAATAGCAAACACTATACATTGCATGGTCTCTGGTCTCCTCTGGTGGCCAGTTCAGGTATCCTCAATTTTAGAAATACATATAGTATTTTTAGACTGAGTAAGTGAATCAGCAGGGTGCTGATCCCGCAAATATGGGAGTCTTTAGCGTTAATCCCACTCTCTTTCATCACCTGACTTAAAATTAGAATCAACTGGGGAGAAAAAGGATGAAATCTCTTTTCTAGCTACAACCAAAAGACTGTCTGTATAAGCTTTGGGCTTCCCAAGAAATTTAGCTGGAGCCAAAACTAGGATGGGTAGGTAGGGACCAGGGCATTAAGAGTCAGGGTGCTAAAATTAAACGGGGGGAGTTACATTTGCTGCTCAAAGGGAGCAAACCGGCTTGGCCCGGAGACGGACAGACCCCTTCCAGCCGCTCTTCCCTGGAGGGGAGGCAACCTGTATGTGGGACCCTAAGCTAACTCTGCCCCTTTCAAAATGTATTTATTTACAGTAATTTGTATACCACTTATTGGGCCAAGAGTCACTCTGGGCAGTTTTACAACCTCTGTGTGTGTGTGGGGGGGGAACACCACCACAATTTGTATACCGCACACTTAAGAGATACAAACCATGAACTTAAAAGCTTCCAAACAAAGAGGAAGCAAAAAAGGTGAGTTTTAAAATACATTTTAAGTAAAATTAAACTTTTCTCCCTTTTGTTGAAATATATTTTGCTTTATTCCATGTTTCTGCCGGTCTTACAAAAATACGACCCCCCCCCCAAAAAAATTAGCTTTAAAAAAAACCCGTCTGCCCCCGTCCCGTCCCACCCCTTGGTTTTACTTCATTGCTCTGGTTGCAGAAATAAATAAAGATGCAATAAATAAAGAGGGGGGGAGGCTCCCCCCCCCCCTCTGGGACTTGCTCAGGAAAGTAAGACATTTAAAACAGGCAGATGCCAGGAGGCACAGGGCTCCGGGTTTCAAGATCTGCCATCGGGGGTCTGCAGGTTCGGGATGGGAACCAAGAGGCTGTGGGTCTGAAAATGTTGGCGGAGACGGTCCCTTGAACCCCCCCCCACACTACCCAGCCACCCCCACTTTTTTTTAAGGATTCCTGTTGCAACCTTTGGGTTTCCCCCCATCCTGGACGTGGCTGAGCTCTGGCAAACGTGGGCAGACGTCAGAAGATGCTTCCCCGGGTTAAGGCAATGCAGAAGCGGTGTAGCGTTGAATGGGCAAATGGCGCGCCATCCTCTCCGGCGGATCTAAGGAGACCCAAACTTTTGCCCACTCCCCATGAGATGGACAAGGGAGCCACGGAGACCCACGTCTAAGAGGAACTTTGTTCTTCTTTCCTCGATCTGGAACGTGGCACTAGGAGGCTCACCGGAGGCGGGCAAGGCCCAGTCGAAAATCCCACACATTTCTGGGGCCGAGTTCCAGGGTTCCGTTCTTGAGGACCTGGTGAGCAGAGAAGTGTCACGTTCTGTCAGAACGTGGCATTATTGCTGTGAGATCACATGGAAAGACATCTCCAGCTGTAAATGAGGCGCCCTGGCTTGTCCGCCCCTTCGTCTCCAACCCCAGGAGACGCTTCCGCTGTGGGGCCTGGACGTAGCTTTGTACCGTCCCCTGACAGGGAGTCTGTGGTTCCTTCCATGGGCAGATCCTCTCGCAATGGCTTTAAATTCTTTTTTTTCTCTTTTGGAAGATGGAAATGTGGCCGCTGTTGCAGATGTTGGAGGCCATCATGAAGCAAAATCTAGCTTGGGGGCGCGGGATCAAGGAATAGCTCCTCTCTACACCCTTTTCCCCCTTATTTTTGGTGGAGCCACCAAAAGCGGTCCTCGTGGGCGGTCAGGAGAAGACCCAAGCTGGGCATCTGCTTCTTGAAGTGTGTTTGGGAAACTGGCGTTTGTGCCCCATTGGCCCCGATCCCTTCCAGGCCAGGCACACCACTCTGTTCATAACGGTGGCAGGTGGAACTTCGCGAATAGAGAGCTGCTACAGCCTCCGAAGAGGATGATGTATTGCCTTCCCCCCCCCCGAGCCCAGCTGTACAAAATCTGCACTCCCACCAATCTTCCCATCCACCCGCTGCATCACCGTTGCTTCCACCCCAAACGCCCTCCATCAAGGAGCCATTTCAAGAACCCGACAGCTCACCTGAAACCTTCTTGCCTTGACACGGCTTTTGCAGACCAAAAGTTCTTATTGCAATAAATAAGTATCATCGGCAGCGTCCTCCCGCATCCCAAAGGGGAACTCTGTGCCCCCCACCCCCCACTGTTCACCTGCCATTTCCCCAACCATCACCTACCCACCCAGCGAATTATTATTATTTAAATAGAAAAGAAAACATGGAGTCAACCAGAATGATTTCCAGAACTGTGGAATCGACGTGGCCCGTTTTGAGGAGCATCACCTGGAGTGGTGCCACCCGGATCCTCCGCCCCGCAGGAATGGCGTAAAATGCTTCGCTAGTTTTTTTAGTGCAAGAAAGGTCAACTGTGTGTTGCTCAGTTTTTTCTCCCCAGAATCCCTGAATGCCACAATTTGCGTCATTCTAAAGGACGGTTCTTCAAGCAGAGAAGAGGGGAAGGAGTTTCAATCCCTCTCGGTTTTAGTGGAGCAGAAAAAAGAGGGGGGAGGAAATAAGAGGACAGATTCTAGAATTGGTGTCTGTCTCTCTCTCTCTTTGTTCCAGAAAGAGCAGCTGATGAAACACAGCACAGGTCGGTCCCCCCAAATCTCACCTCAGACCCACTCGGTGAGTTTCTTGGTAGGCCCCAAACACTAGAAGGGAACTAGAGCCTCAATGAGGACTAGCGACCTGTCCAAGAGGGAGGCTTTGCGAATAACCCCGGACCGCTGGAAAGTCCAGCAAGTGGGTCTTTGAGCAAATAAAGCCTGAACTGTCTTCTGGAGGCCCAAATGTTGAAACTGAGGCTTGTCCTATTTTATCTTTGAGCAAATAAAGCATGAACTGTCTTCTGGAGGCCAAAATGTTGAAACTGAGGCTTGTCCTATTTTGGGCACCTCATGAGAAGGCGGGACTCGCTGGGGGGAAAAAAACACAATAATGCAGGGAAAAGTTGAAGGCAGCAGGAGAAAGGGGAAGATCAACTATGCAATGGATGGACTCCCTAAAGGGAGCCACTGAGTTCAGCTTGCAAGAGCTGAGCTGTTGGAAACAGGGAGCATTTTGGAGATAACTCATTCAGAGGGTGGTCGAGAGTCGGAGGTGAGTAGAGGGTGGGACCAATGCCAAAGGAAACAAGAGATAGTGCTGGAAGAGGAGACTCTCAGGACGGAGAAACGCAAGGGACATTTTTGAGAGCACTCCTTCGTGGGGCCGCCCACAAGTCAGAGGTGACTTCTTTAAGCAGAGGGGACGTTCTTTCGCCGGCTGCTTCAGCCTGTTTCCCACTAAGTTTCCTACAAACCCATTTGGGGATTTTGCTCAGTGGCCCCCGTTGGGCGCCCGTCACCTGCCCAGAGGGTGGTATGTGGTGGATTCTGAGCTTTGTGACCCAAGTAAGGGTCCTCTCATCCCAAAAAAGAGGTGAAGGCAGATGGAAAGGAGAAGGTGGAAGTAAAAAGAAAAAGAGGCTTGGTTTGGAGAAGGAACGCATTTGGAGAGGAAAGAAAAGCAACAGCTGGAAAGCAGGTAGGGATGGTGCACTACAACACCCACTTTCCTCTGCCAACTATGGGATTGTGGGAATCGTAGTCAAAGAGCCGGTAACAGGAGACCCTTCCCCAACTGATGGGGCTGCCCGAAACACTTAAGGAGAGAAATACCTGCTTGAAGAACCGCCCTGCTTGGTCTTTCGGCCCCCTCCCTGTCTCTCTTTCCCCCACCCCACCCTGAAGTCCCC